CATAGAACACTTGCTAAGGTTGTACAACTCATAAATAGTACGAGCCTTGAGGAGCGCTCCTAGCCGCTGCTACATGCTGGCCTTGAAGCATAATGTGGCAACATAGAATCATGAATTAATTCTTGAGCAAGTCGTACCACAGCTCCCATTCTTAGCAACTGAATCCTCTAGATGTAATGTCTACGTAGCTGTCACAGTTGATCCGTCGAATAGCAAAGGCAGTGCAATGGCAAGTAATGCCATTTACTGCTCGAGGGGAGTTTCGAGAGGGTTTATAATCGAATGAATCCCAGTCGGACCTACCAAGCCTTTCATCGCTCTAGCATTGTTTTTTTTTTAATACTAGTATCATTTGCGAGGATAAAAACATCTGCTTGATCGGCTGAATCCCGCAATTAGCTCCAGGGGCTAGATGGCATCAAATGCCATTTCGATTCAAAATGGAAGTAGAATATGTTGCACTCCAAGAAGGATCGGCGTTGGTTGTTTTGGCTGAATATTTCTATGTGTTTTTCTTTTCAGTGGAAGGAGCACGCGGGCTGTATCTGAAGAACCAAGTCACGTTAGATGCGTACGCGACCGTGGTTCTTCATGGAAAGGGCTCCTTGCGCAGTCGCGCCATAACAGAGCAGGTGAAAACGGAAGGAGAATGTCGATGGGATGAACATTGTGAATTGTAAGTGGAACTGATTGAACTTCTTGAAGTGAGGTGACTGTCTAATGTGGTCATTTTTCAGTAAAATCTCGGAACAATCTACGCATATCACGGTGACCGTTCAAAATAAAACAAAGTTCGGTGGAGCAGGTGCGGTTTCGCAATTTCAATTTTCATAAAAGATAATAGAGCCATTCATTGTGATGTGTTTCAGATGTGATTGGCAAATGTGAGATCCCGATCGATCAGGCGAAAAAGGTTGGTGGCCACATGTGGTTTCCATTGAAGAAGAAACGAGATGACAGCAAGTACAGGTAAGGGCGTCGACGAAGCGACGATGCTGCCTTGTACAGCCCAGGTGTTTACTGGGTCAAGATTTTATCCTTGGTTGGACTGAATTCCATGATTGCAGGGGCGAAGTCCAGTTGCAGTTCACGTTTTCCTATGAGAAACCAACGCTGTCCATTTCTAACTCATCGCTGAATAAAATTGAAAAAGGTTTGATTCATGGATTAATTTGAGTTTTGGACTCTTTGTGGATTAGTTTGAAGCTGTAGAGATTTTGAGCCGTGTTTTCTTTATTCTCTTTTATTTCTTTCAATTTTTTTAAAGCTAGAAAGAACATGAAACCCGCTCAGCAATCCGGGAAAATAAATAGAAATATTTGCTTTTGGGTTTGAGTTAACCCTTTGGCGACAATGGCACCACCGGTGGGTGCCACTATGACCGTCGCGTGGGACAATGGCACCCAATGGTGGGTGCCACCCTAAAATTTTCTTCTTTACCCATTTAAAACATTTTCAACATATCAGTAATTATAAGCAAGCTCCGTTACGCCTATGTTTAGCATATTTTGCAGAAATGTTTGTTACTAGCTAATTTATATGAAATTTTAGGATATGGCACTTCGCTCGGCATGTAACTAGGTAATCCTAGAGGCATCTCCGACAATAGCAGAGTCGCTCGGATGAGTTGAAGCGCTGTGATGTGTGTGTAAAAGTGCAATAGGAACTCTTTAACTTGCCGAAAATCCCATGTGTGCAGCGCCGCGACCGAGTTTCCTCTGACTTGTCCTTCTTGCCCTGCGACGGCCCCGGAGAGTAACTAAACTAGTGTTACATTATTAAGCTTAAGGTGAATTACAGATCAGGACCTCTACGTCTTTTCACAGTCTTAAGACACAAGGAAGGAGTTTGAACTATATCAAAAATTCTACTGTACATTTGAATTTAGAATTTCAAACACCATCCCTTTGAATCGAGATTTCTTTCCAAACTTCCACTTTTAAATTCCAACAATACATGATCATAAAGCTTAAGACTGCAGTCATATTTTGTTTATTGTCATAGTCAAAATTTTGATAGAAAAACTGCTTTTAGGGACAATTTTGCCCCATTTTGTGCGAGAGTTGGGCGCGCCAAAAAGAGGCGTGGTCCCACGAGCACGCTACGTGCAAATCCGCATTGTCGTCAAAGGGTTAAACGAACGGCATCTTATCAGCTACTCAAAATAGCGGTAAATGCGAAGCAGGATGAGTTCAGCAGATATTCTTCAGTCTGAATTGCATCTATGCTTGCATAGTCATTGAAAAAGCTTCGGAAAGGCTAATCACTATGGTTGATCTAGGAATATCCAAAGAAACGGATTGCTTAACGGGTTTCCTGTTTTTCTAACTTTCAAGAACCCGAAACCAACCGTAATCTTAATAACTTTTCTATGGCGTAGGTTTTTTAGAAGCATGAATGCCGTAGTAATTTCACGGCTATCGTGGGTTTTAAGAGCGTGACAAGTGGACGGATTGCTTCGCAATGATGACAAAAGCCGGAAAGGCGGCTAGTCCGGGTTGAGCTGGAACAAAACTTGTCTGGGAGGAGAAAACGTCATTGAACAATCTGGTGCTGTTCCAGCTTGTGTTACCGTGCACAGTTCCAATCAGTAGCTTTACAATTCGCATGGCGCCAAGTGCATAGCGTTCCCTTCCGAATGCCCTCGTCCAATTGGTTTAGGTATTTCCTTTTTAGTTAGACCTATTACTGTGAATTTTAACACATTGCGTACCACGTGCGCCACCATGTGGCGCACGATTTGGAGCGGAAGATCATAGTCCTTATCTGATTTATTTGGCATTTTTCAATGCTCCTTAAGTGCTTGCACTCATTTTCAGAACCAGGAAAGCATAAGTATCATCACTGATAAAATTGTTGATAGATTAATGATGATTCATTTTTTAAAAACATGAAAAAGGTATGGAGATGCTCGTATAAGGGCGGTCCGCAATGTGTTAATACTAGTGGGCACTCGGTCAATAAAGTGTATCAGTGATCTTTTTGCTCTCCAACCGTAAATGCATTCCTTTCCTTGCTTTTTGTTGTTAAAATAAAGGAAGGCAACTTATAGCTTGAGGTGATTATTCCTTTAGTGCTAGAAATATCTATCCACTAGTACAGTCTCTATGTCCACAAAACGCTACGACGTTATCATCTGTATCGGTCTGTTCCGCTTTTGATCGCGATACGACGGTCAAGGTATCGTTGTTCCTGAGTCTGATTCGTCGCTGTACTCTCTGTCTATTGTCTCTTCTGAGCGCCCACTGACTCACAATCGTGGCACGGGCCATTACTAGCAAAAGTTCCGGATTGGAGCTTTTATCTTACGGTTCATTGCTTACCATAACATCATTTTCTTTGATGATGACATCCTATGGAAATGTAGCATTCAAAGAACGCTAATCGGAATTTTGCGTCATCCCATATCGGTCTTCTTATTTATTGAAGTTTTCCTATTGCTCATGGTACCACACTCTCTTGACGCGCCCAACTCCCGCACAAAGTGCAAAAAAATGTCTTTAACACGATGCGACCGCCGGATGCGTGCAGCTCCAACATTTTTTCGCATCTTCCTCATGTGGCATTAAACTTCAGTGTCGTTTTCATCATCGTGTGTTTACCAAAAAACTGTTTTCGAGCCCTAATTAAATGCACATACGGATCGTTGATACAGAAACACACCTTCACAAAACTGTAGGGAAAGTACGTCTCTCAGATAAATATTTGGTATGACACATACACACAGTGGTCAACGTGGTTAAGATGCAGTTTTTCTTTTCAAAAATTAACATGAAATAATCAAAGGATTACTCAGCCGCTGTCTTGGACTGCGAAAAAAAACTAGAGTCTTGATCTGTATTTATCTTAAGCTTAATATTCAGAACCAGTTAATACATCGCGAGCGAAGTTGCATATCCCAAATTGCATAAAAGCTACTAAAATTCTGCAATATGCTTTATCATAGGTCGTAGCGAGCTGCTTCGTATATAGCTGATAGTTGAAAATGTTTGAATGTGTAAATGAAAATTTTTTAGTTAGCCCCACTAGTTGGGTATTGTCCCACGCGACGGTCATAGTGCACCCACAGCTGGGTGCTTATTGTAAGGTCGAATGTATGCGCGTAGCCGGCAAATCGCTCACTTGTGCTGAACCGTCCATGGTCAAATCCACAATATGATCATATTTGCGACTCAATAGGTCTTATTTGGGTGAGGAATCCGAAAGTCGAAAGCAAGTGGGGTGAAGTCACATGTGAGAAGTTTGAGGATGCTGGAGTTGAGGTTGGCATTACCACGACAATTGTGGAGTAAGCGGTCTCGATAAAAATTTCGAATTGCAGGTAAACGTGACGGTTAGCCCTGGTCACAAAGCCAAGGAATTTGTAAGTAGAGTTTATTTTCGTAAATTCGTCGATTGATGTATCAATTGATAGAAGGCGACTGCAAGACGGCTAATTAGTTCGTTGACTGAAAGTGTACTTGTGTTTCGTCTCACTTTGTGTTGTTGAAGGCTCATGCAGCACCTCGTCGCCGGATACAAAGAGTATGTATGAATCTGTGAGAAAGTTTAACGTTTGGTTCTTCGGTATAACAATTAGTGTTGACTTGGTAGTCGAAGCGTAGGTGACTGCTTCAATCATTGCATAGTACACCACACGCTGTATGAACAGCTGTTTCGGCAGATGAGCAAAATATTTGAAAACGGTGGATGGGGAGCTGGTTTGCTGCATTTTCAGCGATATCTTTAGATCTGGTCTGTGTAGGGATTAAGAAACGTTGACCATTCCAATGGCTAAAAAGTGCTGTGATGCCAGTTTGTACTCCGTTTCGACTTTTTCATAATAATGCCCTCACCATTCCGGATGCAATAACGCGTACGGTGGCGTGCATGCTCCACCCTTCATAATAGCTCATACTAATCCTGAACGGTTTATACGATTCGTCCCTTCCGCTCCTGCTGATCCTATTGATTGTGTGCATACCGATTTCGATCGCTGAAAACTCGTTTATGGTAATAGTAGCGCCCTAAGAGGGTGAGTGGAGGTGTGGTATTAGGTGCAGCTATGTTACTCCTATGCCTATTGATAGTGCTAGCCTTAGAACCCTTCTTTCTCAACCTTCTGTATTTGATCCTTGACGTCAAGTCAAACAGGAGTTTTACAACCCTACCTCTACCTGATCCCTTGTAAACACCGCTACTTTCTCCGGCGACGGCATATCGCCGTGGTGTTTACAACTGTAATTTATTCCATATTTCTCCACCCTCACCTGCTGACTACGTCCTCTGTATGCAAAAGTTATAGTCCTGGTCCCAGATCTTCGGCAAGAACGACTTCGCTCGGGTCCAGGGTTAATCATTGCATTAGGAAGAACTTAGAGTCTGACATTCGTGTCGTTGGGAATTCCCACACGAGCGGTTGATTCTGACCGGGTTTATCTTTTAGAGTTGCAGGCTTGTTCCTCTTTTCTTTCTTACTTTGTTTCTGAGCCTGATTGCTTCTGAACCTGCGCTCCTTTCGTTTGGTATCCTTGTACATAGTTATGATAGCGCACCTTTCAAGTGCAATAAGTAAACGGGAATTATTCTGGAATTGAAAAATCAAATTAAATTGACTTGTTTTTGTTTGTTAACTGCTGTTTTTGGCCGCAGTTCGCCTTGCGAATGTTTCACAAGAATGCTGGGTTGTGAACAAAACTTTCGCCCCAGGCGGGACTAGAACCCGCACCTCTCGCTTTCCGGGCAAGTGCGCTACCAGTTACGCTACCGGACACTGGTATAAATTCGTAACTATCATGGAATACGAAGCCTGATGGTGTTATACATGACATGGTGATGGCAATGATTGACATTGAGGTTAAATATTTTGGCACACACCCCTCACAACAGTGGGATTTACGGAACTGATTTTTTTTGGCGACGATGCTCCCCTTCCTTTGATTGTCTGCAATTTTTTCAAGGCTTCTCTGCGTAAGAAGACATGCTCTCCATTTCTGTGAACGAGAAGAGCGTCGAATGCAGACCATACACCACAAATGACGACGGCCAAGAAAAAAGCACGTCTTTCTTGGCCGTCGTCGCTTGTGGTGTGTGGTCTGCACTCGACGCTCTTCTCCTTCCGAATAGAGTATGAATGTGGTCTTGAAAGCTTCTCTTTCATTCTGATTTTGTTTGACAGCGTTATTTATAGCTGAATTCATTCGAACGAATTTTGAAATTGTCTTCAGCTAGGCGATAAACGGCGCCATATTGTCTAGTACACCCCATAGTCGTTTAGTGAGAACAAAAAAAAACAGTGTAAAAAGTTGCGAAAATCTATAACAACTGGGTGTCTTGGTCGTTTTACTGCCTACTCAGCGAAAAGCTGCAGTTAGAACGTTTGTTGGTGTTTTGAATGTGCTCGTCCAGAAAACTTGTTCTAGCTACTGCTTCACTCTTCTCATTAGATCGTAGTTTGAGGTTCATTTTGTGTACGAGGTCTGCTTAGGGCAGGTATTTTAACACTTGTGGGCCGCCCGTTGCGCAAGTATGTCCGTACGTCTTTTTAAAGTTTTCTTTTTCTGAAAAGAAATCATTATCAGACTATCAGCAATTTTATCGCTTGTGATAAGTACTGTTTTTCCGGCTCTGAAAATGAGTACAAAGTGCTTTAGGAGCATTGAAAAATGCAGAATAAATAAGATGAACTATGTGTTCTCTCTCGCTTTAAAATCGTGCGCCACATGGTGGCGCACGCGGTTCGCAATGTGTTAACAAATTTTTCTAAAACTCTGAAGATATCTCTATGGCTCTTCTCCATAGTTTTTGCGTCGTTTTTTGTTTTTTAGAGTTTTCTCCTAAGCTATAATGAAATCCCGTTTGAATTTCCAGATGGATATGTTGGACAAAATCGGAAGAGAAGAAATGAAGTTGGCCGGGCAGCACATTCAGCAGGCCCGAAGGACACGATGTCCAGTCGGCAGTGGTGTGATGGATGTCATGTTATGATCTCAGCTCTCGCAGTACCCGATTCATGAGTCGACTTAACAAATCTATTGGCAGGAAGTGAGTTTCAGAATTTATATGGTCTGACTGAATATCGTTATACGGATTTGATCTTTAGGTTGTCTTCACTCCAAGACGGGCGTGTATTCGGACATAACGATACGACTTCATCATCAGAGTCAAATGGTCACCTGGCACCCCCATGGCGAACGGCAATGCTGTTGTGTACCGGGAAGGGAAAGTGAGTTGAGATTTCATCTTTTTTTTCGGATTTCGAAACATGCTACACAGATGAGGTATACGACCTCTCTGGCAATGCTAATGGGCCTCCTCTTGAACGCTAGGATCCAGAACGGCGAAGGAGGGTGGTGGTCGTGCGCGCAAGGTCGAAGAGGAGAAAACCTCGTGGACAGATAGACGGATTGACATGCAGTTCGCAAGGCAAGGGTTGCACCTCGCGCCACGCCTTCGTTGCGCCGCTGACCGTGCGTGGCACCCATCTATCCCGCCTGGTATCTCGCCGTTTTGCAGAAGGCGCGTTAGTGTTGCCGAGGGTAGCACCAATAAGAGTAGCATCAATGCGTAGACCAACTGGCAAAGAAGAGGCCCATTGATCGGATTTTGTTTTGCTTCTTATGATTTTTCTTACATTTCTGCACCACTGCCACGCTCTACCTTGATTTCTAACGGGCCACCTTTACATAGGAAACTCCGCCTCAAATGAAGTCATGACTAACCCATAATACCGCGATTTTGTAGCGGGTTTACGTCGTAAAGGCAACTTACCGGGCTCTTTCTATCGATTTCGATTTTGTTTTTGGATGGAATTCCTGTAGGGCGATTCCAACAAAGCGGAAAACATGTGTTCTCACTGTTAGACCTCCCTCTCACTCTCCTTGTTTTCTCCGAATGAACAATGCTCGTTAATAATTTAGCGGTAAGGCCGTGAGTCTCACAGAGTGAGAGACGTTTGTTGTCTAATTGCGCCTTTTCCGACCTGTTTCGGCACTTGTACGGTTGCATCGTTCCAGGCAAGGCATTAGCTCACGTCCGTCTTCTGCTCTGAGCGGAATCGATTTCAACGAAGACACGGCTTATCCTGCACAAAATCGGCTGTCAACGCCAATTTCCAATGCGGGCCAGTTCACTCAAAATGTTGGCGGCTCGCCCACGGTGAGTACAATTCAGTGCGGAATTTCAAGCATGCTCTATTCCTATCCCATTTGAAGTGTGTTGAGTGCGGTGATTTTCTGACTATTGCTTTCTCCCCAATCGCTTCAACCGGGCCTTAGTGTTGCCTGTGACCCATTGCTTGCTTATGTTGTTTCGTTGGTCTTATCGTTGTGATCGCTTCCAGGCGTCGACAGCTGAATCATTTCATCGAGCGAACAGCCTTAGAAGTGTAGCGTCATCTGGTTTTGGAGGATCGAACAAACCAGCGGTATGTACGATCTTTGAGATCGAATGGTTTATGGTTTTTGGTTGACGCTTTCGATTCCAATGGAAGGAAATTGGCCTCGTGTTCTGGGGTCGCATACTCGCAGTACTAAATGGTGTGGGTGTCGATTTTGAGCTCTCTCTGGTGTCAAAAATTGGGCTCTATGGGCTGCAAGTGGGGGAGGGGGTGTAGGGCGAACGAGGGCAGGTAAAGATGTAGATGGCAGCTGGAAGTTTTAATAGGAGGTTTTGCTATTGGAACGGTTATAGGAGTGTGGTTTTGGCTAAATCTTGAATTCACAATCCCCCTAAAGGAGGTAGGTAAACTCAGCTCAATTGCCAGTTGACCCTGATGGTTATTACAAAGAGGGACTCGTGTTCCTGGGAAGGGTTCAGTAGCACGACCAGCGCTTTCTTCTTTCCTTCTATACGAACAGCCAAGCCGCTTTTTCCGCGGCTGACTTGTGCTCTAGCTTCTCTTCTTCTTAGGCTAATTGGCTGTCGCCTTCTCCTTTTCTAAATCTGTCCTATTCCTAAGATCACTCCATCAACTGATCTTTCATAGTTCGTGCCGTGTTGCATGAGTGTTGGCGACTCTGTGGCCTGCTATAAGTAGAATTTCGCAGTGTAACTTTATTGAGGGCAGGTGCGGAACATGTGTACTGCATATGTTGAAGTGAAATCATTATCCTGAAGTTAAATGAGAAGCTCGGTTTTGAAAGGGGGCAAACAGCCAAGTAATGACTCCATCCGATCACTAAAACACCGAGTTCTCGTCCATTCGGGCTGTACGGCTCTGTGAAACATGATCGACCACTCCTTTTTCATTTTTAAAGGTTTATGGACTTATTCTTCAAATTGAAATTGATCCAGAATAATTAGATAGTTACGAGCAGGCTCGGACAGAAATGTTCAGTGAAAAGTTCACGCGGTTGTGTGTTGTGCATTTCTCCTGGCGCCTGGCTATAGAGTGCACTTCCGCTTTTCCCTTCCACTTCTTCCTTTCCTTCTAATTTGTACATTCGTATTGTTGTAATTTTAAACTTTATTAGGGGTTCTATTGTTCAGAAGCAGCGAAACGATGAGCTGGCGTACTCACAACAGGACCTACTTGCCCTTGTGGACAGTTTACGTCTCGAGCTACGTGTCAAGGACTCACGATTACGCGACATGGAAGAATACATGGATAATCTGGTTCGTTTGTTCGATTTCATATGCAATTATTTGACTTGTTTTTGTTTGTTAACTGCTGTTTTTGGCCGCAGTTCGCCTTGCGAATGTTTCACAAGAATGCTGGGTTGTGAACAAAACTTTCGCCCCAGGCGGGACTAGAACCCGCACCTCTCGCTTTCCGGGCAAGTGCGCTACCAGTTACGCTACCGGGGCACCATTTCATCCCAACTCAGCTTTTTGGTTCATGTATAACTTTCGT